TCCCTTGGAGCAAGTAACGGAAGTGATAGTCTTGGGAGAAAAACTATCAAATATTCAAATTGACAAATTTGGAACAGTCGCTAAAATTGTTCTCGATGTTCTCAGTCGCTAAAAATGAAGAATTTTCAGGTTCCTATAAAAATGTTGTAACTTTTTTGGGACTTTTCGTTGTTATTGTCTCTGTAATATCTGTTTTGTTTTTCTTCAGACTTAAATCTCCACAAAAAGTTGACAATGAATGCTGTTTAATTGAAAACCCGAGAAATGTCTTCAAACTAGACTGTAAACCGGTGTTCAATAATCTTTGTCCAATTGATAAGACTTGTGTATGGGACTTTGTTGATTCAATATCTAAATGCGTGTAAGTCACGAATCTTAGTTTTTATCCTAATTTAAAGTATCAAACTATCTATTTCTTTGTTTTTAGATGTAAATCAGCTAATAATTGCAAAGATGGATAATTTTTTACTTCTGCAAATTATTTAAAGAATCCCTGAACTCAGGTACAAGTACATGGCATCTTACCCCTCTAATAAAGTACCTCGACTAAGAAAATACTCTTTTGCAATTGTTAACTCAGCCCCGAGCAATAGTAGAGGGCAACACTGGATCATGATAGCACGATTGGAAAAAACTTATTACTTTGTTGATTCTTTGGGTCGAAAAAAAACAATTTGTTCTTATCTAACAAAAAAGTATTGGCGAATGGTTCCCAGAAAACTACAAAAAACTGATAATTTGTTTTACGCAATTTACGCAATTTATTCAGCATTTCTTCTTTTTCAATTCTACCAGAGAATTTGAATAAAATTCATGATGTGCATGTTTTGAATTTTTTAAGTAATTTTATGTAAACTTATAGTTTTTTATTTGTAAGTGTAAATTATGGCAGTAAATTTACTGTACGGTGCAGTGATTTAGTAATTTTCTTTGTAATTTAATTTTTTTAAACAAAAAGTTTGACTTTTTTCGAAGTTTCAGAAGGTTTCAACTTTGCTTCTAGTAGATTGAAAGTAGATTCTCCAATAAATTAGATGGAATTATAGCTAACCTTATCGTGTTCTGAAGTTTTTTGAAAATTTTTCATTTTTTTTGGTAAAACTTTTAAGTTTTTACCCAAAAACTCTTACCATTGAATTACCATGTTCCGAAAAACTAATTAAAAGACCTTCATTACACGATCTACACGTAATCAACCTTTGATATTTACAAATTAGATAAAACGCGCCAAAAGTTTTGCGAAAAAACTACACATTTCCACGCAAAAACCAAAAAAAATACGTTTTTCTTTCTCTTACCATCACACTGAAAACTTACCATTGGTATTCTTTATCTTAATACATTGTAGACTCTATGCCCAATCTTAATACATAGCATGGGAGATCGAAAGTCTATAACGTATCTTAATACATGGAGTCTCCCATGCTCCCCCCCCCCCCCCCCTGATCAGCCTCAACATCTACTACTGCTCTTGTTTTTGAGGCAGCTCCGGTTTTGCTTATTTTCTTTTCTCGGTTTTTAAGTTTTTCCGTTTTTTCTGTCATTGTTAACTTTTTGTTCCAAATTTCGAAGACAGAAACGGACTATTTGTGCTCGGGGTATTTTTTTACTCCAAATTTTGACAAGTTATGACTTTAACTAGCTACTTTTGACCTGTTTTTTTTTGTGTCATTTCAAAAAGTGAAAAATATAAAAAACTTATCCATATCTTAAAATTAACACAATTACATCGACTTTGAAAGAGAGTCGGAACCTTCAGGGCTACTCCCTGATACGAGCACTATTGTTGTTCCGACTTTCGTCCTGTTTCTCTTTTTTTGTCATTGTTACTTTGTTGTTCCGACTTTCGTAGTGAGTGACAGAACATTTGTGCTCGGGGTGGTTTTTATTTCTCAGACAAACTTCGACTATAACTAGCAATTTTTGACGTGATTTTTCACATGTGATCTTGTTTCGTACACAATTTGGGAAAACTAATGCGAGATATAATAAGGCGAGAGCAGGGGCTTAATCTGTCTTAGATATTGTTTCAAATTAAAATGAAGCATGCTATTTGGTGTTTTTATAAACTATGTGGGAAACGTATCACTTTGTACTTAACATCGCGTGTAGCGGGATGTTTTTGAAAATGATGGTTTTATATAAAAACTTTAATTCTTTTTTAAAGTGAACGCTACTGCCCTGAGCTTACAAGAGAGTTTTTCTCTTACCTCGTTTTCCTGCACGCTTTCCCTCACCTGTCTCTATTACGTTCTCACGGCTTGCTTGATTTCTATACCTACTCAAATCAGCATCATTTTTTTCTTGACCAACTAAAAAACCCTATCTTTTGCGTCACGTTGAGCTAAACCACCCCCGACTCTCACCTACGACCACAAAATAGTGGAGGGATGAAAGTCGGGATGAACCTGGGGAGAAGTGTGGTGGGTGGTGGGTGGGGTTTTACTTTTGATGGGACGCGAGCGGGTCGGCGGATGGACTTATTTAATGTGGTATAGTGTACGGGTCATTAGATTACCATTAGCGAAAAATTATATAATTTAGATGAATATGAGCGAGTATAAAAAACGAGAAGGCTGTGAGATATGCAAGAAAGATGCAGAATTTACGTACAGGTATGATCAATGCAATCTAAAAAAGTTTCAACCGGTTTATTATTTTAAAGACAATGGATCGTAATGGATTTCATATCCATTTTTAATTTCAAAAATGTAATTATAATCCTTAAGCTTGAAATTTTTTGGCTATAAAACCCATTGAATTGATCTTTTTTTTCAAAAAAAAAGTCCAGTGCGGGTATGTACATGACCTTTCCAAAAAAACACGAACTGCTAGCCGCAAAAAGTCTAATCATGTTGGATTCGTCTTTTCGCAATCGGATTTTTTTGCCATAGTTTAGATACTCAATCGTTTTTTATATGAGTTTCAACTTGTCAATAACGCTCTAAAAATTGAACACATCTGGATTTACAGGCCTTAGTAATTGTTTTGTTTTTTGTTAATTTTTTTTGATGTACTCGTTTTTGGTATGTTGAGCCAAGTTCTATTCTGGCACTTTTGTTCATCTTCCGCTATGGTTCCGATTGGATTGGAATGGGTTAGATTAACTCATCAAATTCAAGTGCTCTTTTTGAACCCTCCTCCTTCTCTCACACACACACACACGCCACACACACCTTGATCCTATAATTTTGAGGAGTTGCTTTAGCCACCTCAAAAAATTCAGCGTACCAAGATAGCGTTCGGTATGATAATTGAGGCTGTTGATTTTGGATCTACACTGAGAAAGTGCTCCCACCTTTCAATTTTAGTTGTCCACCGAAATTGCCCTTGGAAGCAACTGTTTTCAGGCCTCGGGCTAATTTTATTAGTATCATTCGAAAAGTGTCGTTCTCTTGATCTCAATTTCTTCTAAAAACAGAATTTTCACATGTGATCTTGTTTCGTAAAGTTTTGCTGGCTTAAGCATTACCAATTTGAAATTGAAATGGCTTAATCCGTCTTAGAAACTGTTTGAATTTAAAATGAGGCATTTATTTTGGTGTAGTAAAACTTTTTCTAAGTGGGAAACGTATCATTTTGTACTTAACGTGGTGTGTGGTGGGATGGTTTTCAAAAACAATTTCATACAAAATTCAAATTTTTTCATCTTTTTTTAAAAAAAATTTGTCCCTTTTTAAAGTGAACACTATTAAATGAAGCTTAAAAGGGAGGAACCTTCAGGACTACTCCCCGATTCGAACAACCTTGTTGTTCGGACTTTCGTAGAAAATGCGAAATATATTGGCTGGGGGGGGGGGGGGTTTGATTCAGACAAAATGGACAATTTAACTGAAGTTATTGACGAAATGTTTTCACATCATTTTGTCGTCTTGGGCTCCAAACTAAAAAGATATTTCACCAGCGAATTGAAAATTTCTGTTTTGGCCTAGTTGGGATAATTCACGCGCAATATTTTGCGTTCTTATAACTCTCGTAAGCGGCAAAGAATGCGTTCCAAACTGAATTGATCCAATATTTTAGGCTCAATAAAAAATACGCTAAACACACCCTTTTTGTTTTACATAGTCACTGGTGGATAAAATGAAAAAAAGGGAAAACAAATCTTTCTTTTTATTTGTCGATTTCTTCGTCATTTATTCAATCAAAAAAAAAACTTTTTGAATGGACTTGAAGTTCAGTCAGAACATTCAGTGCTCCGCCCTGGTATACAAGCAGTCTTGTTTCCGATTTGAATATTGCTAAGTATAGAAATGAAAAAAGGTATGACTTGCAATGTCTTGTTTTTTTTGAAAAGAAATGTCCTCAAGGTCGCCTGAAGAGCCAACCAGGGAAAATTAAATATATGGACAGAAGGCTTTTTTTACTTTTTTTTGTACTAACTTATTGCTAATTGTCAACTACTCCCATTGAGAGGCCGGTCTTAAAGAAGAATGGTCCCATTGCAGAAAAAGACTTGGGCAGAACGATGCAATTGGGCTGATACGGTTGCGAGCTTGCTAGACCGTAGGCACGGACTGTTTTTGAATACGCCTGATCGATATCAATTCGAGCCATGCCAATGCGAGAGACTTTTCATACTTTGAAAATGGCGCCACATCTGGACCCAGATCCAAAATTGCATAGTATCGCCGAGAGCTTGAGTCTGGGAAATCTGCACATAAAATTGCAAAAGGTCCATGGGTCGCGCAGACTCTTCCGATCTCCCATAGACTCCTCCATATCTGTGTGTGCCGTGTGTGTGTGTGTGTGTGGGGGGGGGGGGGTGGGGGGGAATGATTAAGTTATCTAGCACCCACAATATCTCTTTTTAAAGTGAGGGGACCTTAGAAGTTGTACGTAAGTGTGGAAGAATTGTACGTTGATCTTAATTTTCAATTACCATATGCGTCAGAGCAATTAACAATAAACAACTAAAAATTCAAAATTCAACAGAGAGGTTAGGTGTCAGCGTCGTAAGTCTTAAAACGAACTTCAAACAAGCAAAAACGAACCATCATTGAGTTTAAGACGAAAAAAAGCACAGCACCAAACAACTGTAGCATATATTGAATTGAGAAGTAAACCATACGCTTGTGTTCATTAATTCACATTCTCATTTTCTTGATTGTTTATATTTTCGAAAAGCGTAAAAATGGTGATCTTGATATATTTTTAACAAAAACATCACTCAAAATGTGGGGTAAAGTTCTTCATAAAATCACGAGAAAAAAAACTATCCAAGGCGATGTTCTGGCCACAGAATTACATCGGTGTCTGAGCACTTTCGACTTAGTGGTCATCGGTGTGTCGAACATGATGGGCAGCGGGATCTACGTGCTCTCGGGCGTCATAGCACACCACACTTCGGGTCCAGCTCTTCCGCTATGCTTCTTAGTAGCCGCTATCGCCAGTTCCATGTCGGCGTCGTGTTACGCCGAGTTCGCGAGTCGTGTTCCGAAGGCTGGTTCTGCTTATATCTACACTTACATTACAATGGGCGAACTGGCGGCGTTTCTGATTGGCTGGAATGTTATTCTCGAACATATCATTGCAATTGCTGCTCTTAGCCGAGGTTTGATAGGCTATTTGAACACTGCAACGCATGAGTCTGTTTCGGATACGCTTCATGAGGTGTTCCGGGAGCACGACTGGGATCCTTACGTCATACCTATCATTCTGACAGCTGCACTCATCGTATGTTTAGGTAAATTACGAATTATCAGATTTAGTGAAGAGTACTTCTATTTTCTTTATAAGGTTCAGTTGTATGTTTTGAAACATTTGGTGGTATTATAATGAGGTGGTGTAATGGTGTTAGGGATCGAGCATACCCCCATCCCCGTACTCTCGATCCCTTATAAAACCCAGTAATGAAGAAGAGAAACCGACCTAACCATTTGACTTTAGTTTCATCGAATAACTTGTCAGTCCTACGAGTGGTCGCCACGTGTTCTCAGGGTCCAAATGTGTGTCAATCAGGATATAGTAAGAACATTAAAGCGTTTTTTCTTATTCAAAAAGCCTCGCTTGGAAAAACATAACTTTGGGAAAATTTAGCATGTTTCTTCGCAAAAACTTTTCAAAATTGGGTACTTCTGCGAGAAGTCGTCAAAAGTGATAATTAGTCAACAGCGACAATGCGAACGCACAACTCAACTCGTACGAGGCAAAAAAAATTGTACCCAGCGACCCTAAGAGGCTTTTAATTAAAATGAGTGATTAAATATTCGCTTTAAAATTGTATGGAGAACAACGTGGTAACTATGGTAGGGTTTTTAAACAGCGATCTCATCGGTAGTTGACTTTGTGTCGCATCCGGTAGCGATCGTGTCCAGCAACCATATGATTACGGGTTCAATTCGCGCTCGCTGCAATTTCTAACTTTAGCTCCATAGCTTGGTTAACTTTAGATAATTGATTTATCACTTCGGTAAGCGCCTCTGGCTAGTTAACAAAAAGTTGTTTCTAGCAACAGTTTCCAATAAAAAACTGATTGAAAAGATTTAAAATCGATTAAGCATTGATTTAAAAAAAACTTTTAGAAAGAAAACTTTTCAAAATAACATCTGTTTATCCGAAATCTGACGCTGAGCGCGTTTGAATGGGACTGCTGTCAATCGAAGTACCAGTTTTAAGCCCGAACAGTGCGGCGCAAAAAAAATACAGGATCGACTCGTAAAATAATAAATAACATTGCAATACCCAACAAATTGGCCTTTGTTCTGATGGGGAGACTTTCTTACGGTAAGATTTAAAGCCGTTCGGACCGTTACCTTTATTTACAGAAAGAACAAGAACCTGCACATACTGGAATGAGGGAAATGGTACACGCTACGATTCACAACTCACGCGGTTGTAAAATAACAAAGTGTACCTTCAGTTGGCAAAATATTTGAACGTTTAAGCAGCTTTAAAAATTTTGGAAAGGAGCCGTTCGAGAATTTTGGATTTTAAGCAAGCTTCAATCAATGCGTATTTATTATTCAATGTTTTTTTTTCATTCTGACTAATTGGAGCAAATATGAGGTATTTGGATTGGGCCATACGTACCCAAAACAAGACCCAAAACCATAACTGCTAATAGGCCGTTTGTGGGCTTACAAACGGCTTATTAGCATTCATGGTTTTGGGTCTTGTTTTGAGTGCGTATGTCAAAAGATCCAAGAATCCAAGAAATCCGTTTACAAGATCCAAGAAAACAAACAACTCAGTAGAGTGTTGGACAGAGCGAAGAAGAGTTGCGCTCACCCAACAATCCACAAATTCATTCAGTTCGTGTGAAAACAAGAAAGCATGGATCTACTGAACAATCTCCCCCCCCCCCCTTTTCAAGAAAGGGGGGGGGGAGAGATTGTTAAGTAGGGTAGATTTACTTGCAGGGAATTTTCATCCAATCAGAATGCAGCAAAACTGGAATTTACGTACAACGCTCTAGTGCGAATTTACTGTTTTTATTTACAGTGGTGGAGATTCTTTGGTAGATACAATAGCGGGGGGGGGGGGGGGGTTATTGATTAGATCCGAAAGCATGAAGCCGGAATGATAATCAAGTAATCGAATCCACAAAAGAGTGCTACAAAAGTAGCTAAAAACGAGAAAAGTCAATCTTCAATGATTGAATTGCTAAAATACAACAAAAACTACACAAAATTTGAAGCATTTTAACGGATTGTTTGATAATATTTAATTCTGCTTCGGATGTTTCTAGTTCTGTGTTCTCTCAACATTTGACGTAACTCGTTTCTGATTAAATGTTGCCGGTACGAATAGTCGATTGATGCAAACACTCGCGGTCGAAAAATGGTCGAAACCGACGAAAAATATATATTTTTAAAAAAATCCAAGCTTCGTAGATTTCTGAATAGTATTTTCGTGGCTTTTCGGGCACAACAGTTGTTCGCTGTAAGAACTTAACAGCTCGTATGTTTTTACTTTTCCGCGTCGATAAATTGTGTTTGCATATTTTGTTTCAGGAGTAAAAAGTTCAGCTCTTTTCAACACAATCCTGAGCACAATTACAGTTATCATCGCGTCATTTGTCGTCATAAGCGGAACTATTCTGGCAGATTTCTCAAACTGGCACGATTTTCTTCCCTATGGCCCTTCGTCCATTTTTGAAGGCGCGGCTCAAGCTTACTTTGCTTTTGTTGGCCTCGATGTTGTAGCAACCGCAAGCGAGGAAGCTTTGAACCCTTTCAAGACGGTCCCCCGAGCAATCGGCCTCTCGTTGCTTGTCGTCTCCGTTATCTACATACTTTCCTCTGCAGCTTTAACGCTCATGGTTCCTTATACGGAAATTGTTGACGATTCGGCTTTGTCGGCGGCGTTCGTTTATCACGGTTGGAAATGGGCCGAGTATATTATTACGTTCGGAGCTCTTGCCGCTATGACCGGGTCGCTTTTAGGCACCGTTTTTGCCGTATCACGATGCACTTACGCTCTTGCAGTGGACGGAACCCTTTTCAAGTTTCTTGCCAAGATCAACTCAAAAACTCAGACTCCGATCATTGCAACTCTTGTTATGACTTCAATAGCAATGATCTTTGCGTTCTTTCTTCCTATGGAAATTTTAGCCGAACTGCTTTCAATGGGGACACTACTAGCTTATTTTGTAGTAGCTCTAGCGACCATTATGATCAGATACCACCCGTTAGACCTTATTACAGGGTTACCATTTGACACTCAGGAGCAATCAGAAAATGCGCGCCTGGTTAAGAGTTGCAAGTGGGAAAGAAACCAGACCATTTCACTCTCGCTTTTCCTGGTTTTCGCCATTTTGACCAATCTGTTTCTGGCACTTGCAAAGCACAATTCGAATCGAGATTACGCTTTCACGACTTACGTAATTCTGATATGCGTATTTTCACTTTTAATGGCAGGTTCAATCATTTATTTTTCGGTTGTATCACAAGAAAACCCTTCGGAACCTGCATACAAAGTACCATTTAACCCGTTCATGCCCGCAGCTTCAATTTTTGTGAACTTTTACCTGATTACTCATTTAAAGCTTATAACTTGGGTCCTAATTTTTGGCTGGGTTATAGTTGGATTGGTGGTTTACGCTACTTATGGAAATTTCCACAGTGTTTTGGAAGATACGCAGCCTTCAGATCCGACAACAAAGAAAGAAGAAAAAGTTAATTAATTCAAAACTAATGCTATCAATGACGGTGTAAAAATCAGATTTTAAATAAAGTTTTAGCCATAATTCAAATATCTTCTATCTTTTTCGTATTGTATTACAATGCACGAGCCTGAACTTTTTTGAAGTTGTTTAGATTTATTTTAAGTGAAAACACAATGAATTATTTCTCTTCTTAACCAAAAATAACACACGCGAGACAATACAAAGATTGCATGGTAAATTAGCAGACAGACAATGAGACTTAAGCAAAAAAAAATTTTCCAAATTCAAAAAAAAACTAAAACTTGATATGATAGATTTGTCGCAAATGATAATAAATTGGTTCCAAACGATATCTAGTAACAGAGTTATTTATACGGATCTTCATTTTGAAGAAAACATGCAAAAAAACACCATCCTTGCCATTCGAATAAATTTGCCAAGTGAAAATTAAGTCAACGAGACTTGGGTAGACACCAGTTGAGCCGAAAAAAAACGATGTCATATAAATTTTTGAGCAATAATTTTTACGCCCCATTCTTAAATTCAAAAGAAACATAATATTCTTTTTTTTTCATTTAAGACGACGCAAAAGGAAGTAAATGAACCTATATATCATGAATCGATCCCGTTCATTTAAACACCGCCATCTAGACACCTTTTAACAGTTGAAAAAGAATCTATGAACGCAAGTAAACAGAAAAAATATTGACCAGTTTTCTTTGAAAAAATCGCAACTTTCGAATCTCCAAGTAAAAATAGATGCCCTTAAAGCTCTTTGAAGTTCTAGAACAATTTATGGTCTCGCAAGCGAAGACACCCTAGATTGGAGAGAACTGAGTCTCTAAATTTGTTGACGATGATACTTCGCCCATCATCCGCTTTTTGCTAATTAGTTTGAACGGTCTAAATTTACTCCAATTTTTCTTAAGCACAGACAAATAATAGCAAGTCAAATAGTGTGTTAATAACTAACCACATTTGTGCCACAACGAGCGTTCGTTGAGAAAAAATTAGCAACGAAAACACAGCCTACGTCATAGTTCATTCCAGTAGCTTTGTGATGAGAGGTAAACTAAAGACTGCTGATTATACTAGCCTTAAAGATGAGTACTTCTAGTGTTGTAGCAAACATTCCTGATATAAAAAATAGGTCGACCTTTTTTTTGTCGTCAAAATTAACTTTCCGAGCTCTCCAAATGCACTAAAAAACCTTGTTTTGGCCATATTTTCTGCGCCGCTAAAAAAAAACAGGCCAAAAAAGGCGTTTTTAGACACTTTTTGGAAAATTTTGACCAGAAAAATTGCGTTTTTCGTCTTGCGCTACCCCCTCAAAATTGGTAACAGTAGCAGCGAAGGCTCCTTTAGAAATTTTTAGGGTCCGTCAGCCAAAAATGTATATCTCAAAGTAGTACAAAGGGGGACCATTTGAGTCGGCAGGAGGTCGAATCCCTGAGGAGGGGGGGGGGGGGGGGGGGGCGTCCGCTACCTCCCTCAATCCGCCCTTGTTTAGTTTATGTTATGATTATTTTTAAATATAATATTTTGGTTGAAGCTTCCAAACCTTTCAGCAAATCGGTCAAATGAAGCAAAAAAAACCCTCAGTAGATATCAGCACATTTCACAAATATGCTCAAAGTGGAAACAAATAAAATAAAATTTATTTTTTCATAATTTGGCGGAAAAATAATTTTAAGATGAAAATCGTGATGACCAAGTTTGTTGAGTTACGTTCAAAAACGATGCAGATACATTCAAAAAAACGTTATTTGACAACCTAGCTCGAGTGCATTGAAATTCTGTATAAATCAAGTCACTGAATTTTGTTTAAAAATTAGCATGATAACACCCAAAATTTTAGCGGTTCCTAAAATTTTGACGTTTAAGCCAAAGCCGAAAGTTTGAAAGCAATAAAGACAACGAAAACCTAAAAAGGCTCAGTGCCAAAATTGGTTCAAGTCGATTAATGAACTGGCTGGCGGAAACAAAACGCTGGTTACATACAAAGGTGATAATTTATCGCGCATTAGCAATTTTTCCATTGTTGAACATGGATGAGGGAAACATTGAAATCAAATTTTAAATTTCATTCTTAGAATATAATGAAACAAAAGCTATTGTTCCCACCCGCCCTAAGAACTTCATGGTTAAATTTTTATTATTTAAGTGCAAAAACTGTTTTTTAACATCCTTGTTTAAAAGCATTGAAATTTTAAAATAAAATGTTACTGTGTTTTTCGATTAGGCAAGAAAAGTAATTGACAATGCAACATGACAATGACAACACCCAACAAAGCAAATCGATTATTTTATTTTGTATTTTCGAAGGCAAGACGTAAAAATAAATCCAAAGTTTGGAAGCCATAAAAAGTCAGAGAACTAAAAACTGCTTAAGGCCTAAACTCGTTCCAGTCGCGTAGGGACATGGTTGGAACAACAATATGCTAAGTACACGTTGTAGTTTCATTTATAGCAAAAATTATTATTCCCATCTCCCCTAAAAAATTTCAAGAAAATTTCAATGCAGTTGGGACAAGTTACAGCACAAGTGCGATTTGAACCAGCCATCATTAGATTGCTGGGCACCATCACTGCCGAAGCGCCAAAACTACACGCTACTTTCAAGAATAACGCACAACCTGCTATGTAAAAAAAAACCATTTTTCGGAGACCGCGACAAGATTGAAAACGGGGAGAAATGCTGTATTCGGGGAGTGTTTCAGTTTTTTTCTTTGTTTTCTACGCAAAATCAGCTACCCAAACATTCATCAGACTGAGTTGAGTCATAGATCATATTGAAACCCTTTCAATCGTGGTTCGAACGGCATTAAAAAGTTTTTAAAAAATTCAAAATAAAAAGAAAAAATTTCCCAGTGTCGAGAAATACCGGTTTGAAATTTTTGATTTTTCGTCTAATTTCGACATTAGCTTATTTATGCTAAAATTGAGCCTAAAAAATTTAGGTTTATGCAGCTGAAGTTAGTTTTCTGAGTTTTTAGCTTCATCTTAGGAATCAAAAACTTAAAAAATTTTTGGAAAAATTTCTTAAAAATTAAAAAAGTTTTTTTTTGACTTTTTTGTTTTTCTTGTTATTTTTCTTGAAAAACTGTTTTCCAACTTGCATATTTTTCAATGACTGACGAAAATGCCTAATCTCTACTTTTTCGCTCTGATTCCTTTATCACTTCACGCCGAAGAAATGACAATAATTTGAAAAAATAATTTTGTATTTTTTTAAAACTGGTCGGGCATTGATAAATTTTCGAAATTCATGAAAGCTTAACTTTTGAAATCATTTCGCAACAAACCCAACTGCGATGAAAGAAAAAAAATGGACAGATTATTTAACCTCAATTCCTTCCATTGAATTCCACCTCAACTTCTAATAGAATAAATCATAACCCTGCTTTGTTGATTTACTGAAACTTCAGTTGAATGAGCGCACCCCGTTTTGGTCATTACACTTGTTCGGTTTTCTCTCAAAACGATGGAACAATGAAAAAATTATATTAAAATCTAAATAAAATCACGCCCGAGTTTTGTTCGGGAAAATATTCAAACTCAACAAAACGATTTATTAGCAAACATAACTCATTGAATAAGCACACTCTTAAGTACAACCTCATAGCTACAAACAACAAATTAGCAATGCTTTTTCAAAAAAACAAATTAACATAATTTTCACCAGGCCGAATATATCACCATTTTATTTCAAGTACAAAATTAAGTAACATCTGTTACAAGAGCAGGATGGTCACGTTTAATTTAATTTTTTTTTGAGGAAAAAATGATACGACCGTATTATCAACGTCGCACAAAAATCTCAAAATTTACAGAATGAAAAAAAAAATTTTTCTCGACAAACCTCTTTATGACTACGTGCCCAACCTACCGATGAAAAATCATGACTTTGAAGCCTTGCTCTAAAAACTGAGATCGAAAGATTTGCGAATAATTATTGAAAGCTGGAACACGAGCTATAATCAATACGCGCAACAGTTATAGTCTTTTCTTTCTTTTTCTTGATTCTCAAAGTGAATTTTTCTCAGCTTTCTGTCGCTTGATTTTCTGTTTAATTCTATTATGAATGTTCTTTTTAAGGCGACGATCTAACGTGGTCTGTAACCAGCATACTTGAAGCCAAGTCGGTGTTGGCCTGGATTTTATTACTGAAAGTACTGTAGGTCTCGTGTAGCATACTGATCTCGACTGGGTCGGCATGATTGGGTCCCAAATTTGACAAATGAGTTAGATTTCCTAGTGCGTTTGTGAATCCTACTCGGGATTCATTCATATCTTGGATCCGTCTCGATCGTCTTTTGACCATGGGTGCATTGTTCTCAGTGTTTTGTCCAGCGGAGTTGCCTGGCTTAAGAGGGGTTGCCGGTTCTTTTTGTGCCACTAAACAAAGCATCTCATAAGACATAGGCAACAGACTTTTTCAAATTTTTTTAGAATTTTGAATAAACAATTTAGCAACTTCAATCCTTTTAAAACTCAAGAATCTTCTATGATTGCCATTTTTTTCATTAAAATAAATCAATTAGAGAAATTGGATCAATAAATAAATTTTTGCTTTCCGCCCAGAAATCATTCACTTTAAGAAATATCATTCACATTTTTTCGCGCCATTACCGCTTTTGTTGTTGGAAAGAAAAAATTGCCTTCCTTTTAGCAAATGGAAGTAATTGGAACGAAATAAGAAATCAAGTCTTTCCGTCTTTGATATTCTAATTAATTGTCAGCAATATCTAAGTTTCATACATTGCGGGTGACAAATAATATTTCAACCATAGCTTAGGTATCCAAGTAGTCCAGTGACACTTGAATCGCTGAAAACGTTACAAAACAAGGCTCAAAAAAGTTCCTCTCATTTGAACTAGTTTTTATCGGCATCACCAATTTTTGGAAGAAAAAACCCGTAATGCGTCAACTCGCAACAAAAGACAACATGCAAAAAACACAGAGGCGAAGCTGCGCTTCGTAAACACTTGCGAGAAAACGACCAAAAAGCAGCTCTATCAAGTGACATAAGAAAAAGTAGAAATAAGCCTCGAATTTGCAAAAAATCGAGGTTTAGCAAAAACTCCAGCAAAAATCTGCGATCTAGCAAATTTGAGTATCACGCACTAACCATTCAGCCACGGATGCTTAAAATCCCCAAAAACTGGCCACCAGTAACGCAGCTACATATGCTAATAAATTGCTAATTCGATGCAGCAAAAGTAGCACCAATACAAAAAGATACAATTTTGCATGTTATAAATCGCACATCATATAGCCACATTATGTATAAATTATGCATTTCAAAAAATTGCGAGATATATTGAGTTAGAAAATTTCTGAAATCGAGATTTAAGTATTGTTATGTTGGTTGAAACAAATAGCTTTCTTCGGTTCACATGATGAATTAAAAATGGATCAACTGTCTAAACTTATAACTATTCGAATGTCAAAGCGCATGTTATCAATAAGCTGTAAAGGTGCAACATATTGCCAATCATTTTGTATTGCCAATTCCATGCAGCAAATATTGTTGCTTTAAGTCGCAACAAAATTTGCGACTAAGGTTGGAAAAAAAAGAAAGATCGTACTATAACACATTGCTTCCCAAGTGTAACACAGAGGCGAAGTTGCACTTCGCATACACAAGCACAAATATGACCGATAATGCTACTGGGAAAAACTGAATGAATAAAATTCGAGTCTACAAAATTTCTTAAGTGACGCTATCCAATTATGAGTCTACATAGTTGCTAAGTGACGCAAGCCAATTATGACGCATTAGCAGTACCAGTCAATTTGAAAAAAAAAGAAACGTACCAACTAACATGCCCCAATTTATAGAGCGGACGCATTTTAATTAGTATACGAAAAAGTTCATTAAAAACATCCGACCGTGTCCAGTTTCGAACCTATATTTTGTTGCTAGTCTCCTTCCCTACCTCTACGCTACAGATCCATGATACCTTGAAGCTAAAGTGCTATTTCTAATATAATAGTCGGCATTAATATCCTTAGCATTGGCTGTAAGTAATAGCTGGATCAAAATGAACATTTTGTCGCAACAATATTTGCGACTTAGGTTAGAAAAAAAGAAAGTTCATAGTACGAACTTAAGACAAAATTCTGAAGTCAAAATTAATTTTTAAGCCATGCAAGTTGTCGCTTTCCTTAAAACTTGTGAGTTGTCGCGGTACATAAAAACCATTCTCGAAAATTCTGATAACACTAACATGACATGTCCTAGTAGGAGCTAACTTACACTTTGAAGGCCCAGCAGGCTCTGTCTTCTTTTTCTGCAGCTGTGCCAGAGACCTTCTTTTTGCCTTCTGATTCGGGTTCAATCCAATCGTTGCAATCTTGCTTCCCCCAGCAACTACGCCTGCGATTGCCCCGATACCTCTCAGAGGACCGCTTTGCACTCCGAAATTGGGTTGCCTTGTCAACTTTCCCAGAGGTGCTTTCTGTCCTATTACTCCCGAATTCACAGGTCGAGGGAAGTTTTGTTGCGATTGCATTACGGGCGGCGCCTTTTTGGCGCTCAGTAGCACGTTTTTGCTCTTGTTGCTGCTGCTTGAGCTAGTGAATTTTGTGTGGTTGTTAGCATGGGTGGCATTCATTGTGGTACCAAATTTGGTTTTCTTTGGAGTCTTCGGACCCCCCTGGAGTGCTCCGCCCATCGCTCCCGCTCCTCGTTTGGTCGCTCCAGTCCCGAACCTAACGAGAAAAGACAAAAAACTGTTTATAGTGAACACCAGGAGCGCCCCCATTTCGGAGTGATGACTACGGTTTTAATGCTTGGTTCACAGAGAATCATAGCAAGTGGCGAATATCTAAGTTTGACTAACAGAAAAGGCAGACAGTGTAAATAAACTGTTGCGTGCATGTGCATTGTTCACTTCATCGATTAATGTTACTGCGCTTTTTGAGTGAGAATATGAACGGAATTAAGACATTTCTCGTCATGATGATATCATAAAGCGTTTTGGTGTGAGAAATAGACGCATTGAGTTCAATTGAATTGATCTAAAAATTGTTACTTTTTACCGAGTAATGAAGCGCCCCCACATGAAAAATCTTAGAGCCGCGCCTGGTCAACACTACTAAACAGAAATATACTGAAAGCCGAGTTTAGATAACATAGCTAGCGCTTGATATCAATAAAAACTGAGCTCCGTGCTTCAAAACTGTGATCTTTAGACTCTAACTTATAACCTGAACTACATGATTCAACATTGCAACTTTCAAGATCACTTTCTAGATACTAAACTTTAGTCCAAAAAATGAGAACAGAAAAAAGCCTCCTCACCTCATTTCCTGCTCCTTCTCTCGCTCTTTCTCCTCGTGCTTCGCTCTCTTCAGAGCCTCTTTTTCCGCAGTCAACTCTTCTTTCTTCATCACTATCCAGTCTATTATGGGACAGTCATACACCAAGAACGGCTCGCCATACTCCAACTCCCATTGATCCACGCCAGATTTAATCTTCTCTTCCAGTTTCGGAATCTAGACAAGGGCAAACAGCATAGTATAAATGGGATCTTATTCTCATGTCTTAAGGATCAAATGCACGAAACTTCTCAACCAACCGATGTCTTTTACATTGTACTTAAAATGGCTCTCTATTGTACTCTCAATTGAGGCAAAAATAATTACTGGCAAACGCCTTCAAAAACGCTGTCTTGCTTTTCAGTTGACAAAGAAGAGTACATGAAATCGCAAATACAGAACAAAAATGGTAACAATTTTTCCCATCACTAAGTTTAGTAATACACAAACTTACAGCAAAGCAAAATAAACATTAATTTAAAAAAAATCAAAACACAAATTAAAAAGAACCATACATTTCACTTTGTCTCAATTGAATCATAGTTCGCTTACTTTCCGTTCGATCTCTCTTCTCTGGCGCTGCTCCTGCAGCAGTCCTTTTCCTCTTCCTCTGGCCAACAATCTCGCCGGATCATTAGCCTTTCTCTCCATATCCACAAACTCATCCCAAACTTCACAATGTTGCGCAAACAATTCCAAAATAGGCTTCGCCTTCTCGTAATAATCTTTCGTTTTCTCAAGCTCAGCTTCGTGCAATTCTAACAACGTCTCAGAGTACGTAGTTGAGAAATAAGGCTTGAACATGGTCTGTTTTCTGTCCTCACTTATATAAAGCGCGTTCCAGTATTGTTCAAGCTCACGGCGACAATTCATTACGAACTTTTCGATATTCTGTTTTCTTAATTCCATACACTTTTCAAGCTCTGCTTCTAAAGATTTAATATCACTAGGCCTTGACGTTGCGTGTCTGTGTAAAAACTGTTGCAGTTGTAACATTTGGAGATCCAACCTTGCATACATGGCTTCAAGATGCTCTCTGAGATTCATTGCCTTTTCCCGTAAAGCGTCTCGTTTTCTTTCCAACTGATGATGGAGGTTCTCGAGGTCTTTCAGAGACGAGAGGGAGAGAAGGTTGGCTGTTTCTAGTCCCAGTAGATGTCTAGAGAGAGAAGTGTCTTCCCATCTCTCCTCGAGGTCTTCGTAGAGATCTTTGATGCTCTCTTTTAGCTCCTCCGCTTGTGTCACTCTCTCAATCTTGACGAACTTCAGCCTGAAAAAAAACAACAAGAATCAAATTTAAAATTCAATTTGCCCACCAATAAAACTGCAACATTAGCCACATTTTTACACACAGAGGCGAAGCGGAGCTTCGCACCACTTGCAATACCACACACGAACGTACGCACACACACAAACACATAGCATGGCAAGCTAGCAGACAGAAGAAGAAACAAAAGCCACTAAGTCGAAAAAAAGAACATTTCGAAAAAACCATAACTACAAGTTTTCAGATATTTGTCAGGAATGATGTTCAATTTGCCGAAAACACTTTCAAAAACACAATAACTGGTGTTTAAAAAACATTCCGCCACAAAAATTGATCGGCAACTAAGCCGGCAAAAGTTGGTTAGACTCCCGTTGAGCAAAATTGTTTTCAATTGAAAATCTTTTGAAAGTTCCGAAACACACAAAAGCGTAAAAATCTATTTTTCCTTTAAAATAAAGCTTAACTATGTCACTCAATTGATAAAACATAAGCAAAAACAATTGAAGCCAAACAAACCAGCACAAAAACGAAAAAAAAATTACCAACTTAGTAAGTTTACAAAATACAGTAAGAAATCAAAGCACTTTCAGTTACAATAAAGATTACTTACAATCTAGCAAAAATCCGTAGCAAGGCAACTAAGTCGACCATATATACGCAGACACAACAGGTCGACAATTTTTCGAAAGGGAAAAAAGTTCTGGCCAGATTCAAACACAGGACCTTTACCACCTCAGGCGTAGTATTTTTCTCAAAAACCACGTGTGCCTGAAAACCTAATAAAGTTTGATTTTGATGCAGGCTATCATATGTTTTTCTGTAAATAATTTGTAAAACAAGAAAATTCCGTGATGCGGCAACAAAGCCGACAAAACATAATCAGACTAACGATAGTCCGAAAAAAAAAATTTGAAACGGAATATTTTGTCTTCAAAAACTTAGACATTACTTTTTAAAAAACTGGTCAATAGTAACAGTAGACCGGAAGTTTAACTTAAATTTGCACGTGCACACGTGAATGAAGTCTACAGATTTAAGTGATTTTGTTAAACAAGTTATTAACCCCAAAAAACAGTCAATATCTCTGTTTGATAACGCTTGCTTATCGCAAGCGTAATCAAATTTAAAAAGAACTGCGTAAGCCTTATAGTGCTATCTTTTGCCTGGTCCTGGGTTTTTTTACGATAAAAGTTACATTTTGGGCACCAAATACGGTGAATATCTATCTATTCAAAAAGACCGGTTTGACGCCTATTATTAATTTCAAAATAAACAGAAAAAAAACAGTTCTGAACTTAGTCCAATAACTGACTAATGGGCCTTATCTTCGACTGAAAAGATGATTCTGGTAACGCTAGCTAATCGAAGGCGTATTAATTAACACACCTCTCAACGTCATTTCTTATGGATTCCAGTTCACACTCGGCCGGGATTTGATCCGGCTGCACCGTAGTCGTAAACCTCTCCCCCAGCTCCTTGCACAACTCATTCGCGGTACACATCAACTTATTAAACTTATCCATTCGCTCCTTCTTCATTGCTCTCAGCGTCTGTGCTTCTGATTCGAGAAATGACTCCAGTTGCATCAATGGTAAGTTGGGTGGTTCTATCACTGCAGATAGTTTCAAAGCACTCGTGATCTGTTCAATGTCTCGTCTTGCAAGTTTTACACTCTCCTGTGAAAAAATAACTTTTTCAAATCTTCAAGTCATTACTGACTGTCAGCAAATTAAATATCCTGAAAAAAACTGAAAAAATTCGAATGAGAGCTAAATATTTTCTTAATGTGGACCGGGCGCAATTTAACGCGCAATTCTTGTTCGCTTTGTAATTCTAAAAAGAAATCATAAGTCAAACCGCGATTAATAAGTTTTGTCTTTCTCCTGAAAAACAAAACATCATTACGTATATATAAGTTTCTTCGCTACGTTCATTGATTCTCAAATAGTGCCTTCCTTTCCTTCTCACATGGATGGTCGGAAAAAATTAGTGTACCTGTAACTTATGCAATATGCTCGTTTCCTCCTGGGTCATCCCACTGAAAACTCGGTTGATAATTGACAGCGCCTCCTCCACCCTCTCAGCCTGACATGACTCATTCACTCCTATCTCGTCCCAGATGGCCAATATCCCATCGCAGAATAGCCCAGTCTGCTCCTGCAGCTTCTGCTTGAAGTGTTCTGCCGCATTGCCTCTGCTCGAATTCGTTGTCATCACTTCTGATCTGAAAAGAACCTATTTTGTGGCAACTTCTAATTACTAATTTAGCTATCAGAAGTTTAGCAAGAGGGAATATTTTAGGGCGCACGCGTTGTTTGTTGCGACAAATATCGACGAAAGAGGTCTCGTTCTGTTTCAGGTTAAGCAGGACGAGAAAAAGGAACCTAATGGTGGCAAAGATGTTTTCGTGGTTAAATCATCGATACTGTATAACACTTTGTTCATACTATATAATACAGTTAAATCTCATCAAAACAAACTGAGTCGTCGCATATCAAAACGCTGCAATTGTAGATAAAAACGTCGAATTTCTAAAAAAAAAAAACTGCTTAGGCTTTCCCATTTCCTTGTTCAGTTAAGGCCAAAAATGAGCCGCTGTTGGGATCATTAAAATACTACAAAATGACAATTTTGCCGAGATGCCGGGCACACTAACTAAGTCTGCAGCCGACTTCCAGTAGAATTTCGCAAAATATTTTTATTATAACAGCCCAAAATAAAAAAATCAATCAACTCTCAAGGGAAAAATTTGAACATTTTAGTTCCGTGTCGTGTCACGTTTATTGAGTCAATGATGATCTCGTTGAAGCCCCATGCCATTTCCGTAAACAAAAAATAGGCTCCGGTTCACAATGATAGTCAATGCAGCAAACACTTTTCTTGAATTTAATGAGTTATATAGACTTTTGATGACTAAGTCTAAAGACTTTTGATGAATAGATTCTCACAACTAAAACTGGATTAATACTGATTCCTCTAAGGGTTTTAGCGGTATTAGCTGTAACGGAAAAAAACACTACTTTTAGTTTCATGAGAAACAAATTAGGATCACTTTTCGATTGCCAGTAACGCCATATGATAGTCGATTCTATAATATAATTGGGAAACGCTCTCATCTCAATCCCTTCAAGGTGAACTTGCAAAGAAAGTGCTATCGCTGACTTACTTACGAATATACCGACTTCTTAGATCTGACATCTTCCAAACCACAATTTAAAGCTACAGAATAAACAATTTATTCGCTATCCAGCTATGATGAATTTCACATATATACAGCTATATACAATTCAATTCCAAAATATACAACACCTATGAGTTGAAATGATTCAAGAAACTATCCTATAGGGGCGATATGCAAATTCCTGACAGATAAGCATGGAATCGTCGGTAGCAGCTTACTATGATTGAGTTTGATGATATGCCATTGAAATTTGGGATCCAATTTATGCGAACAGAGCACTATCTTAGTGACATCCCAAGTTAAATTTTAGTTCCAAGACACTTTTTGAAATGAATTCGCTCTGTTTTAAATGTCATTCAATGATGTAATATCATTTTTAAAACCACTGGTCGTGTTCTTTGACGAACTGTTTAGTTTTGGTCCAGCGTCTTAGATCCACCTCTGCTAGAAGCACTATGGGTGGGGGCAACACTTCAGCTTCTTCCTCTCCCATTCCCAAGCCCTTCTTCTTGTCTGAAACAGAGGAACCCGTAGAACGACAAGACAACTCTCAAAAATAAACAACTCTCTTTCATCTAAAATTATACCAAAACACAGTCTAGATTAGCGGCAAACACTGATTCATGCGCATTATACCACTCCGGCCAATGTGAGTGTAGCGGAGCACGCGGTCGCTACTATGACAATGCCGCGTTTCAAACTAACTTTGAATATTGTCCCTTTTTAAGCTTTTCGATTCGATAGTCTCACATTTATAGTCTCGATTTTTCAGCTCATCCTATTCAACATTTTGCGAGTTGTGTTTTGTTGCGAGTTGTCGTGATACCAGAGAAAACAACTTGATAACCACGCCTTAACCAGAAAATTAGACCCGCAATCTGCAAAACATTAGGTCGAATTAAATATCGTCACCCGCGCCAAAAAATAGCACGTCTGCTGTCAAATTTTACGTTACCAGAAAAATTAAGAAAGAGATCGATCACTTAGTTTAAAAGTCTCAGAGATTTTTCAGCCAATCCGATTCTACGTTTTGCAAGTTGACTTACTGTTTAAATGTCCGTGTAATTTTAAGGAGGTTAGCTTGGAGTGTAAATTCAGTTCAAATGGACAATTTATCGAAAACGAGCTCAAAAAACTACAGGCTAGAAAAAAATCCATCAAAGGAACATCATTGAAAACTAGAGTTAGAAAACGTACATACCTTTACCACCACTGGGTTTCGTTGCCTTTTTCTTGTCCTTCTTATCCTGAAACAGAAACAGACTTCTTTCAAATATATTTGACACCATGAAGAACCCTTACGCCAAAAAATAACTATTGTTAACTTATGACTCAAACGAAGCGGTGATTCGCCCAACTTGTGATTCACAAATCGTAAGTTCAGAACAAAACGAGAAAATCAAGAAAACAGTTGTGTATGGCAATTTTTTTCGGCTAAAATTGTTCACTCTGACGTTTTAAACATGCCTAAATGCTTGCTTTAAAAACATAGAAGACTAGCGATAAAAAATCTAGAAAAAAAAATGCTTCAATTTTTCTCTGCAAAAAAAATTAAAATAAACAAAGAAAGAAATAAGGATAGCCGGTTGCTGTGATAGTAGCACAAAATTTCCCGACCACAGTCGTAAAACTACAAAAAAAAACTTTTTTTTAATCTTCAAATAAGCGTCGCTTCTTCTGCGTGCGTGACTATAGAACTATACAAACGCGTAAAAAAATAGTGAATTGGGCATAAAACACTACAATTGTCTTCAGTAAAAATTAAAAAAAAAATTCTTTTCTTAATTTTTTTGCACTGAAAAATTTTAAATTGTACGAACATTTTTATGGCCAGTAAAGCGCTCAGAGAAGCTTCCAAAATTGGTGTTCTTTTTAGCCATTTAGAATGCTTTTCACAACACTGGAAAAAATTCTTGGAATTTTTTTAATGTTCCAATCACTACTGAAAGCGCATGGAAAAGAAAACAATCACCCGAATGCAAAGTTCCTCCACAATTTTCAAATGATCGGAACAACAACACATCGCAAAACAAATATTTGAAAAAGTCTCAATGAACTCTGAGCTCAAGTACAACAGACAAAAATTGATTTATTGTTTTGGAAAATTTCGATGCAAAAGAAGATCATGACGAAATTTAAGAATTGTTTAAGATTGCCAGCTTTTTAAATTTAGATGAAAACTGGAGCAAGAGGTATTTTTTTATTCCGTTGCAAACCATAAAATTGAAACCCACTTTCGAAATTAGCAGATCACGTTTCTTGTGATCTTTTCCCTTAAGCTGTTCGATACTTTGCCCCCTTTAAACAAGGTAAATGAACTTGAAAAGAAATAAAATTCGAACTGCTTAAAATCAAATTTGATGTGATCAAAAATTCCTGCTTTTTATTTGAAAGAAAAAAAAGATAACGACCAATTTCAATGTCTTCATTACGTTCATTGACACGGCAAAAAAACTAGACAGAAAGTCGCACAATCTGCCTAACAACTGTTATGCGATAACTCGTCGACAAAGGCAATTTGTCGATAGCAACTATTCGAATTTTTTGAAAACGACGATTCGCATGAGGCGATAAATCGTAATGGGTGATGAGTAACTATTGATCCGACCATTGAAAATGGGGAGAAACTTTGTATTCGGGTGTTTTAATTTTTTTATCTTCCACGCAAAATCAGGTACCACAAATAATCATCGGACTGGGTTGAGTGATCTATCATAAGAAAACCCTTTCAGTCATGATCCGAACCGAATTTAGAAATTTCCAAAAAGTTTTCCCAGTGCCGAGAAAAATTGATTTGAAATTATTGATTTCTCGTCTCAATTCCAGCGAATAAAGCAAGCAAGCAGGCTTTCAACAACTAATTATGCCTAAATTCAGACCTTAAAATTTGATTTTAAGCAAGTAGAAGTAGTTTTTTGAGTTTTCAGCTTCATTTTGGGAATCAAAAACTTAAATACATTTGAAAACTTTCTGAAAAAACTTAATTTTTTAAAAAGTTTTTCTGGCCATTTTTCTACAATGTTTAAATTGAAAAAAAAATTGACGCTTAGAGAACAATCAGTCGCATTAAAAGCCCTTAGTTTGAAATCTTTCTGTTTTTTCTACCTTTCGAAACAACATCTTTGCTTCTAAATTCTTACTGTATCATATGTCTCTGCAAATCACCATTGGTCAGCGTTGGAACCAGTAAATTTGTTTTTGACGGGTAAAACTTCAACAGAAACCAACACAAGTCGAGGTCATTTTCTGGGGGGATGCAAAATTTTTTCATCCTGCTCCTGTTTTTCTAGCGTTAAATATGCTATAAAAGAAAAAAAACTCAGTCCACCCTTAAGCCACCCCGCTAGCTTTACATTGAGCACGTACGGAAAAAATGGCATAAAGACGGTGGTAATTAATTGGTCACTAGCTTAAACAGCTCAACGGCAAAGAATTAAGGGATCGGCCTTATTTGAATAGCAATGAGGGGGGATAACTTCCTTTTACAAGGTTCCTGCCCGAACGACAAGAAACGTCATGTTATTTTTGGAAAGGACGAGAATCTGAACGTATTAGAATATGACACCGCCCCGCACTCATCGCAGTTTCACATTCATGTGGTAGTGAAAGAACAAAAAAAACATCAGTTTCCATCCTATTGCAAAACAACAGCGAGGAGCAAAATATTCGCATAATCCGAAAACTGATCCAATTTTGGAGCCATCGCAGATTTTGAAAAAGGCGTATATGAATGCCTTTCAAAAAAATGTTTGTGGTACTACTAACTAAAGATTGCTTTATCCATTTTGCTCCAGGCAAACTGGCGCAAAATTCAGGAATTTGGACTGGCTCGGACGTACAGAGCAGGTCAAAAATGGCGCTTCATGTTTAAATCTTTTATAGCACTCGCAATCATACCGGAATTATTAGACTTTGAAAGAAGTCTCATTGTCTTCTTCACGGGGCTGTTCAGTTTTCTTAAAATTTTGGAAACCATTTCGAAATGCAAAGAGTGGCCGACAGAAGACTAAAATTTTATTAGAAGGCTGACAGAGCTTTCCAAATGGGAATAGGTTACGCTCAACCAACCAACCATAAGTTCATACGAAAAGAGCAGATCATGACTGTGAAAAATTGCTGGAGCCCAAGCAGGTAAGTGTACTACCGATGCTGACAAAGATGGAAAAATAAATCCTCGGTTGGTTGCACTTTTAAAGAACTATCAAAACAAAACCATTTTAAAGCAATTTGAGGGATTATCTTTTAACAATTCTTTGTAGATTGCATGTTTTGTATTTCTTTGTTCTTTCATTATTAGAATATAATAGTTTCTGATCAAAATTTTTATCGGTACTAATTGACGCTTGGTGCACATAGTCGAACTCTGCGAATTGTGGGTTTTTTCAATACTACTATTTGTCGCTTTCGACGAATCGTCGCCTTGCCCCGCCGAAAACAATGGACAATTTATATTTCAAAAAGATCATTATGTTTGCACGCCTTTAAGTTTTTCAACCTATAAGAAACACATAAGCATAACAAATGTTTGCCGTATAAAATAACAATCGAAATCATTTAAATATTCTATTGTATATTCATCACATAATTCTTTGACACTTTGAGAAAAAACCATCTCGTACCTTTTTCATATCACTGGCAGCAGTTGCCGGGGGAGTATCCAGTATTTCCAAGTCCTCTGGGCGCATCGGTCCCCCTCCCAAGTGGAGAGCGGCCTTGACTTTAGTCTGTTCACATGATGTTAGGAGACTCTTCAAGTGTAGCACGGCAGATCCCACACACGATTCAGTACAAGAATACTTGGTCAGATCAGACCCTTGGCCACCTAAACGGTTTTAACAATTTGACTGCACATCTCAATCCACAAATCTATAACTTAAAATCGTTTGTATTATCAAATAGGTAATTTGATAGACACTGCCGGAGGAAACTAGGTCGATAATTCATTTTTTTTCCACTGAGAAATCTAATAATTTAAGTTCACTTTTGAAACTATAAGATATTCACTTTTTTTCGAGCCATTTCTGTCTTAATTGAAGCGAGTAATTTGTCTTCCTTTTACCAAATTGATTTGAATTGTACTTAAAAAAAAAAGAACTCAAAGTCAAATTTGAGCTGTACGAAAAACTGTGTGGAAAAAAAACACGCAACCTCAATAAGGGTCTTCACAACGTTTATTGACACTTGGAAACGTTCTTGAGATATTAACTTTGACTTCACCACCGAACAAAGTCTTCCGGGATGCCAGAAAATGACTATTTCTCTTTGAATGTTTAACAGATTTAAGCTTAAAATCAGTAATGCTTTTATTTTGCCCTTCGTCTATCCTCTGCTTGATCATTTTGGTTCTTTATAATGTTTGACGATGTTGTGTAAACTTGATTTTGGAGAAATAAATTCTTTCTTTCTTGTAAAATTTTTTTTTTAAAAAACCTGGACACCCAGAATACAATACAGCAGCTAATACAGTTAATTGAGTCTCTGGGTATCTACCTGAGTGGGTGCTGGCCTTCTTGGCCGCTGCTCCTCCCGCAGTCGCCGCCATCTTAGCCCCCAACTGGCCTGGCTTCAAAGGAGTAGAGCCCCTGTCCTGAAAACCAATCAGGTCATAAAACTCTGATTACTTAGACACACTCGATTCTTTTTCCAGTCTCCATTTTAACTTGCCCGATCTCAGAAGAAAATGAGGAGTTGCTTTAATTTGAACATCAAACCTTCTTTTCCAGCAACAAAAAACTACAAAAAGTTCATTAATATGGAACTCCTGGGTTCGCAGATTCTAAGAGGGACGCCGTTAAAGGACACACGCAAGCTAGAAACAAAGCATTTGTAGCGATTCGACTTCAGCAAATATTCAGCTCTGGTTTGTTAACTAAGCCAGTCAATGGCGGAAACAAACCATTCAAATTAAATGAAGAAATTATCATCTCAAATCAAATTACTCATCATCCGAAAGAGGCAGCCAATGAATTATACAGAAGGTGTGTTAAGTCAGATTTTCAACCTGGTTTTCTATAAGCGACTACATCTAATATGCTCAAGAAGCCAGCCATAATAGTGAACTAACGGTCGCACTCATTTGACTAGATCGGCGTCTTCCTAGTTGGTTTAACTGGCCCTAAAAAATAAATTAATTCCCATTCTTTAACTCATACAAGCTGTTATTACAATTTCATCAGGGAATCAGACAGTTTATATACTTATAGTTATATTTTCATCAAGCGGTCAAAATTGATTTCAAGTTTCATCAGTGAAACCAGTCGCAGTTCGAATAGAATGGGGGGAACAATAACTAACTACAGTCAACAGTCGACTAGACCTTCTACGTTGCGACTGAAAGAGATGTCCCTAAAAGAAATTAGAAAAGATTCAACGAGCAAACTTTCACCTTTTTTGAACTTGACCGTCCTTGTCGACTTGAAGACTAAAAATGAGTTCTACTACATCACCGCTTCCCAATTTATTTTTTTTCTAAAACTGATCATTTTTCATTAAAACTAAAAAGGAGATGTCGGTTTTAATTATCGGAAAATAGTTGCATTATTTTCATGTGATGTGAATCAATTGTAGGTAGTTAAGGGTAACAGTTAGTATCCTCTTTGTTAGAATCGTTAGTTCAAGTATCAAACTATCATACTGATTGGTCGAAGTGTCTCGAAGTCCGTCGAGACTTAGGCGCGCTTTTCTGAAAATCATCAACAGAGAAAAGCTTGATAAGTATCCATTGTTATGAACAAAGCGCACGCGATAAGTACTTAATGTGCTGACATCAAGATGAAAAAAAACCATTAGAACAATGGAGTGCCAATGAACTCAGAAATCCGAAAAAATGTGACCTTTTATTGAACATTTCTCAATTTTTGTATTTCGAAGAAATAATTTGTGTTAGAACTCTTTGAAATTCAACAAATCTTTCATGATTAACAGTTTCGTTCATCTGATTGACCTTACGAAAGAAAAGTGACCTTACTAAAGCAATGTACGTACACTTCATTTTTTATCTATGATTTTTAATGAATAAAGCATTTTTTCTGAATCAAACTGCATTTTTTTATTTCGCTGAGAATTTAAAGATAGATAATACAGTAGCGGAACTGAAAATAGTAAGCCTTCAAAAAAAATAATTTTGTCATTTTTTTTATAAGAGAGCCCAAAATATTCGGATCAAAAGTACCTGCACCAATAGAAGTTTTAAAAAGAGATTTCGAAAGGCTAAAAAGAAGCTTTCAGAAAGCCAAAATTTACACGGAAGCCTGAGAATTGGCACGGAAGTTTAAAATTTCCCACTTGGTGAAGAGCCGTAACTTTTTTAAAGCAAACTGAGCATAGCCAGTTTTAAAGTAGGCTTTCAAATCCTGTTATTTCGATCAAACTCCTGATTTCAGATTTAGCTGGATAGTTAGCGAGTCGAAAACGGTCAACAAATCAAAAATTTGACGTTTCCGAGAATCATAGCTGTATGCGTAATAGGGCGTAGCTGCTTAAGCGTAGCTGAGATTCACTCAAACTCATATTTCGATTCAACTCAAAATCTTACATTTGGGACTGTAGTTCTCGCGAAAAGTCATCAACTTTCGAAAAAAAAAAAACGTTCGAAAAATCAAAATTTTGACTGTTCCAAGGGCAATAACGTTTTGTTTAAAAAACTTTGCGAGTGCAGCTTCTCACTACACGTTATCTCCATTGAACCCACATTGTCCAATTTGAGGAGTTAGGTTATGAGAAAAGATTCACAAAACAACCAAAAACCAAAAATTTGAGTATTCAGAGGGCCATAACTTGTTGTGTAAAAAACATTTGCGCGTAGCCGCTTATATAGGGAACTTTTCAAAACCTTTCTATTGATTGAAACCAAAAACTCAGATTTGAGCGAAAAGTTTTTGAGAAAACGAAAAAAAATCAAAAATATGGGTCAAATATTCCCCAACAGAATGTTTCGAAGGCTGTAGACAGAGGGGTCAAGTAAAAAGAGACTCTAGGGGAGTATACACACACTCAGGGGATTGGACAGACTTTCAATTGATACCTCTTTTTTTGAAAATAAGTAGTAGTTATTGATAAAATCAAAAAAAATTCCAATAAGTTTGAAAATAAAATTCATAACAAAAAAGAAATTTCCAAACCGATTGGTAAATACAAAATTAAACTGAAAAGAGCGGAGGGGAGTGTTAAAATTGTATTTTCCTTGAATTGGCCTAAAATTAGGTCGAACAGCCGATAAAAAATAGGCCGAAATGATTTGGGCCGAGGAATTTTTTTAACAAAAGGAACTAAGGAAATACGAAATCAATGTTAAGTAAAATTACAAACTCTAGGAGCAAATCAAACACTAAAAGCAACATTAGCAAAGATGCGCGCCGCAAAAAAAATCAATTCCAAATGTGACAACTAAGGCGACAAGAGATAAGCAGGCAATGAATTTGCCGACAAATATATTTCAAACAGAAAACTTCCCATTTGAAAAAAAAACAGGTCCTGGTCAGATTCAAACCCAGGGCCTTTGCTGCTCCGGGCATACACCTTACCTTCAGGCTAAGTTGGCCGGAAACGCTTTGAAGTTTAAACTCATTATGAACAAAGATACAAACGATTCCATTGATTCTGTTACACGAAGTTCACCCGAAAAAAATCATAATCGAGTTTGATAACTCAGCAAGCGTAATAAAAAAATTTCAAAAAAAACAATCCTTTAAAATGATCAGTTTGAAAATAAACAATCTTATAAGCATTTTTTTGTCCCTAGCGTATGCATTTAGCTTAAGCAACGTGGCGTCTTTTATTTAGACCAACTTCCTTTCAGCGTCTGTCAAGAGTAAAACTCCATTTTTAAAGGAAAAGTAATTCACACTTTTCGCTACATTTGAAATTTAGTATTTCGAAAGCGTTATAAGCCTTCCTTTTAGCAAACGAACTTGAAAAGTAATTGAAAACACGGAAGTAAAACAGCAAGAAACTCAAGAACAATCAAAGAGGACTACGAACGTTGTTACCCTTGAAAAAAGAACTTGAAAAACTAACAAAATATATAAATCCACCGTTTTTTTTTGCATAAATTTATTAAAAATTTTCACGAACTTTTAAAAAGGGTTACAATTGAGCATTCGGAAATTTCAATAAGGGGCCAAAGCTTCATTGATCTCAAACAATATCGGAAATTTGTAACAAACAAAATATTAGGTAAATAAGCCGACAGCTAATCAGCTGAAAATCAAACAAAGTTGTTTGGTAAAATCGTATCGGAAGAATATATGTACTGCCCAAATAGTATCCACGAAAGCCACATATGTACAAAATGCAAGGTGGTATGCACAATTCAGAAACTAGAACAAGAGCTTAATCGGCAACCATAAAGCCTAAAAACCATCTGCAAAAAGTAATGCTGATAAATTAGCACTATACAACTAGATTTATCAAACTGAATGAAAAAGTTTTCGAAAAAGAAACGTGCCGAGACAAAAAAAACGCAAAAGTTGCATTTGAACAAAACTTATCAAGCCGTAGCAAAACCGAAAACACCTGAGCAAAAACCATTGATTTCAAAAAAAAACTTCAAATTAAACAAAACATTTTCAATTCCCCTTTCCCCTCTGAACAAATACGCACACAGAATCTTCTATCGGTCATCACACGAGGACATCAAAAGTAATTTCAACAAATCGAATTGGTAAAATTAACACCAATTTAAAAATCAAATTTTGATTCGGCGGGTATTTTAAAATGCTTTAACACGTATAACTACAATGAAAATAGTTTCAAGCAAAAATAAACAATTCTTAGAAGTGGCAACTAAGAATACAAAAATCAGGCTAACAATTTTTATTTGAAACAAAATATTTCCTGTTTGAAAAAAAAACAGGTCCTGGTCAGATTCGAATCCAGGATCTTGCCGTCCCAAGTGTATTCGTTACCTCTAGGCTAAGAAAAAACAAAACCATGTGAAAAAAAATTATTTAATGAAAAAAGTATAGTATCCGATTGCAATACCTTTGCTTATCGCAAGGGTAAAAATACCCTAAATCAAACTGCAAAAAAAATCAATTTTAAGCGTAAACCTAAAAAGTTAATTAACTCCGTTCATTGACACTTGATAAGAAAACATGGTTAATATAAGCCGCGCGACAAGCACTTATTGTGCTGTGCTGAAAATGAGATAGAAACGATTGCTTGACTAATTATGACTTATGTAGACCCACCTTTCCAGATGTGGCTCTTTCCACAGCCAGTTCTTCTGGGGTTTGTCCAGCAGGGTAGTAAAGAGTCTAAAAAAAATAAGAAAAACCTCAGCGAAGGAAAACAAGCAATAATCTAGCCGTTAAACTTACAATAATACTACAAGGCATAACTCTTTTTAAAATGGTTAACAATCCAAGCAATTATATTGACACAGGCAAAGCGAAGGTTCGCAGTACTTGAGTTACAAAAATATAAACTTACATTCACAAGTAGAACGTGAAAAAATCTAATATATATTCCATACATTTCAAAAACTGGCCTCCAAAATCAACATACATTGTCCAGCTCTTAAAACTCAAAAATGCTCTGAAGATTTCAACTCACGTAAAGGAATCATTTATTAAAAATAAATACGAAAAACGTTTTTTTTTCAATTGCCATATTATTGTGTTAAACTTCATAGGACCTAATTTAAAAAGTTTTAATTAAATGATCTTATCGCAAGAAATGGCGTGATCCAAAACAGTTAGAAATAAGAAATTGACGAAATATTTGAAACCAGGATAGTCGGCAGGGAGCAGAGAAAGTTCGGACCACAATAACTTTCGAAAATAATTTTTTAATCAAAAAACAGTCAATTTTTGTCCATTTAGGCAAACTCAATAGTTAAATAAGGAATATTCGACAACATTTTTCTTGGAAAAATGAACAGAATAAAAAAAATTCAATAAAAAACAATTTCTGCAGAAAATGCTAGTTATTTTTCAAATTTTTTTAATTCCCAAAAGAAACTTCAAAACCTAATTTTACTGGAGTAATTTTGAACGGCTTAAAAAACGATTGTCTTCCTAATTTAAGGCTGATTGCTCCCTTTATTCGCTCAGATCGAAAATCACAATTTCAGACCACTGAAAACCTATTTGGAAAATTTTAAATGTCGTTCGAATTACGACTGCAAGGGTTCAATAAGATATATCACACGATCGATTCCGATGACTATTTGAGGTACCCGGCTGTGCATAGAAAAAGTTAAAACACAGAGGCTATGTGGACCTTCGCGCCACTGAAATGCAAAAACAAATGCCAAATTTCATCGAAAATTAGTCAAAAATTGCACCTATTTCCTATTTTTCGAAACAAAAATCAAATTTTTGCAAAAAGAGGTAAGATCTAGCCATCCTCTAAGCCTTACCGCTCATAAAAGCTGTTTTGACTCAAATCAGGCGAATGAAACATTTTTGACGACGGGGGAAGATTGAAAGTCGCAGTACTGCATTAAAATACCTTTTGTAGATAACTGCAATCACAAACAATCAAGATTCTGAAAATTTTAAGAGACGGCTCTAATTATTGATTTATATAGAATAAAAAAGATGAAAAGAAAAAATCAAAAGAAAAAAAAACCTGCTATTTTCTGGGAACTCAACTACTTGTACAAAGCCGGCATATGAAAGGATTTTTAATTTTGGTAAAAATGCCTAAATCTTGGACATATTCCGAGCTTTTCCGTCTTGGACAAATTCCGTTAGACAAATGCCATGCATTTGATTTCATAAGAACTAAGATGTAAAATGATTCAAGTCATTCTGTTAAACTAGTAGTTAACCCAAAACAGACAACACTCCTCTTTCACAAACTTGAGCGATAACACGTTTTTCAAAAAAAAACACTTCTTCAAACCATCTACTCTTTTAGAAATCCATCTACGAAAGAAATTCTTCAGCATGTTTACAAGAGCGTTTCAAACAAAAACAAATCAAAGCAAAATCGAAACAAAATGAACACAAAAAACGGTTGACATTTTATTTTTAGCGTTTTTCTCCTTTGAAATTTTGGCGAACACAAGTTAAGCATAAAATAATACAAATAGCAGTAAAAAGTCGATAAATGCAATTATTTTGAATTATCTTCGGCAACTTTTCCGAAAAAAAAAATGTAAAAACTGATAAAAAATAGTATCGAGATAAAATAATTCAAAATTTCTCGGGCATGGACATTGCCTTTGCGCCAAATTAACAGAATGGACTACTAGATTTGGTTACAAAGAGAGCAGCCGTATAAGCTTTGACAAATGAATTTTTGCAAAAACGGGATTCGAACCAAATATCTCTTAAGTCGATATATGTAATATTTTCGAATTATCTTCAACTTTTCCGAAAAATAGGTACAAACTGATAAAAAAAAATAATAATCAAGATAAAAAATTTTTAAGTATCTCGTGCATGGACACCTTTGCGCCAAATAAACAGAATGGACAACTAGAGTTGGTTAAAAAGTCACCGGATAAACTTTGACAAATAAACTTCGGCAACAACGGGATTCAAACCAAATATCTCTTGACTCAACTATTTTTGTTAGTAGTTGCTCACAGGTATCGATTCGTCTGCAGCCCCAACCCGTTTTTGTCAATTTTTTTTTCAGTACTCCACAAACGTAATTATGGAGATTGAACTGTTCCGTCGTCTTGTCTCTCAAACCAGGGGAGCAGTTTTTGATACGGAGAACCGAGCGAAACTCCCGTGCCCGGTTTTGGCGGGCAGTTTTTAATTAGTCAGGAGAACCGAAAAAACTCCTGATGTGTGCTGTATTGTGTTTCTGGGGAATCTACAAAACTCGTCCTCTCCAGTTGTTATAAATGAAGCCAGTTAGCGACTTCGACAAGTTGGTCCCACATGTCGTCCATTGTCAGTGTTTTTGGTTTGGCCGGATAGTTGCAAAGATGAAGTACGCCACGAGGATTATAACAACAGTTAGGACAGATGTCTTTGGTTCTTTATCAATTCTTGATAAGTAGTTGTTGAGATGATAAGTGCTATATCCGCAGCGCAGTTGAGCAAGAAGTCATCTTGTACGACGAAGGCGATTTTCTTTCTGTGCTACATAGAGAATCGAAGTATCCGTTAGTCTTGCAGTGTTACTGCTTATATAGTTATTAACTTCCGTCCAGTAAATGTTTTTCAGAGCAAGCTTGTAATCTAATGATATGATAGATTTATTTTCCTCGAGGATGTGTTTTATATCAAAACGGTATTTTTCCATTTTTCGATTTATGAACAAAGTGTTTCTTTACTGCAACTCCAGTTAGTAACAGAAAGTTTTTCAGTAAGTTATTCCTAGTTTTTACTTTGTTCATGATGTTACTGATATGGCGAGAATATGAAAAAGTTTATCATAACATTAGTTTTTTATTTGACCTCTTCGATCCAAATCCTGAGGCCAGTTGCTTTGGATTTGTCTGATGAGAGTATAAGGTTTCGACTTACCATCCAGTTGTAGAGATTTTTTAAACATGGTTGATCTGTTGTTCCTCGAGAAATTCATTGGTTCATTAGTTGCATATTTGATTTTTTGTCTATATGTTCTCTAAAAGTTTCGAGTCCTTGTAAATATAATGTGATTCATCTTTTGGTATTGTTGGATATGTTAGAAGATTGAATGTCTTTCAGCAAGATACCGTGATCTATTTTGTCAGAAGCTGCGGTGAGATCAGGAGCAACCAAAAGCGTTCTTTCTAGCCATCTCGGATGGTTAAGACCATTTAAAAATTTTCAACATTTAGGTTAAGTGCAGTGTTCTTGGATCTATTTTTCGTGAAGCCATGGTGATGGTCGTCAAGTTTGATGCTATCAAACTCATTTTGTGATATTCTTTCAATCACATTAGTAACTGGAAACAAGAGTGCTATCGGCCATAAACTTTTTGCCTCTTTAGTTTTTCCCGGAAGGAGAGGAAAAAATTATCCAATTTCCCAGTTGTGGTATGATTGATGAAATTAAAGACATATTTCTCAGACTTGTTAAGTAGAAAAGACCCATTTCACCAAGATGATGGAGATGGATTACTGCTATATCTTAAGGGCCATGAGCTTTAATTTTTTTGCTTGCTTTGCGTTTTCGACGACCTGTGGGAGTATATAGGTTGTTTCAAGCTTAAGTTTATTCAATTTTGTTTGTGCTACATTTAGCTTTAGTTGGCGATGACGGATGTGGACTGAATTTCTAATTAAACAGATTGGCGCATGTTCTAACAACCTACACCGATTTTTTATCGAAGTGTATTGGGTGGATTGATGTAGGCTCTGTAGCCAGACCAAGATTTAACAGTCTTCAAGAGTTTGTGGCTGGTTCATGGCTTTTGGCTAAGTACGATTGCCTCTCAGTGGCGGTACACACGCCACGTACATGCTGAATGACCCAAAAATCGTACAACCTCTGCTGCAATTATCATCAGACGCAGCATCAACTCTTGACCGAACTCAAGTCGTTTACTAGAAAAAAAATAATCGTTCCCAATTATAAGAGCAATTTCACACTTTTTTGCAGGTTTCTTTGAAACCTACTTCTTCATCTGAAAAAACTGCCCATTCAAATGATTCAGGCTTTTATCTATTTCAAGGCAACAAATGAAGGCAATCAAAATTGTTACTGATATGGTTGAGGTATTGTTCTTTGCGGGTGCAACACCATCATTTAGACATAGATTTGAGATCTGAAAACGAATTTGAAAATCATAGCCAATAGAGAGTTAGAAAAGAGTCAATTAACACAAATAAACGAAAGCAAAAACACTGCATTTCGGAAAAAGATGGTTTTAAAAATTTTCGAGATTCTAGAACAATTTCTGATTCACACGTTTTTGATAAAATTGACCCAATTTGAGAAAATTGAACCAAAACGTTTAATTTCGCTGGGAAATTTGATATTTAAATTCCATTTTCGAAATTCGAAATCGATTGCGTTTTTCTTGTCCTTTAGACTTTCGCTGTGCGTTTATGAAATTTGCCATCATTTTGAAAAAGTAATGAACTGAACTTAAAAAGAAACTAAAAATCAAACTGCGAAAAAGTAAAAATGATCCTGGACAAACTTTACGACTTTTCTTCCATGTTTCAACTAAGTTCATCGTATCTTTAAATTCAAGAAAAATTTAAACGAAGAAAAAACAAGAAAATCAACACAACAAGAAAAGTAATCCGAAAACAAAAACCAACACTCAGATCGAAAAAAATTGGATAGCCGAAAGAAGTCTAAAACATGCAAACCATTTAAAAAATGCAAACCATTGATTTTTTTTCAAAAAAATACTGAACCTGAAAAATATGTATATTAGATAAAGTTTAAAAAAACCCAAAAAAATCATCAGGACCTATATAAATAACGCTTCGCAAACACTAGTGATGGAACGACAAAAAAGCACTTCTATAGGGTAAATAAGAAAAAGTCGAAATAAGCTTCAAATGAGTTACATTTTTGCTATGTGTCAGATTCGAACCAGCGACCTCGAGGTTTGGAGTGTCATGTGCTTCTCTCTCAGCCACAGACGCTAAATGATTGCTACACAAATAAAGTAGAGAACAGATGTGTGAAATTTCCAATGCTGCAGATTGTGATTATAGCAAAAGTGCCACCACATGAGCACTTTTATATGCGAGTTAGCTTAGAAAAAAAGTAGAGTCATATTAATACACTGCGCTTGCTAGTGTATAAACCACTTCGTTCTTTGACACTTAATAAATCACAGAAGTTTCTATCTATCTTAGGGTAACATGCAAAACTAGGATGAACATCATAGACTATATTTCAACGCAGAGGCGAAGCTTCGCAAACAGTAGCGAGAGCACGACAAAAAGCAGTTCTATAAAGTGCAATAAGAAAAAGAAGAAATAATACTCGAAATAGCAAAAAAAATTGGCTACGTCTAAAACTCGAACCTGCGACTAAGAGATTGAGAGTCTCACAAACTAACCACGGAAGCTTATTAGTTAATAGTCTCACACTAGTCACAAAAAAAAGCAGAGAACAGATGCTATGCAATTTTCAATGCTACAGTGAAATTTCCAAATTAGTGAACGCTTAATTTGCGAGTTAGGTTAGAAAAAAGAGAAGTTTCGTAACAATACACTAAGCTGACGCCAGTGTAAATAAGAACATGTTTAAGGAAAGTCCATAACTATACAAAAAAAAATTCTGCATTTTATAGATAATCAGGCTTGCCCCATCCCAGCCATCAATCACAACATATATCGGCTTTTGAAATATATAATAAACACATAATACAACCCAGTAGGTAATATAACGGCAAAATAGGTAAATGAGCCGACAGAATTGACGCCGGCGCCAATTTAGCCAAAAATCGACCAAAAATTTTTGCTTAATTTTTACTTAAAAAACATTGCAATGCTCCAAATACATAATTAAATAAGCAAATCAACTCGTAGAAACGGCTATCAATTTCTCAGTCGGAAACTAAACCGACAGATATTCATCCGAAAGCCAAGAGGCTGAAAAACCACGAGGAAAAAAAGGTGACGACAGGAATCAATCTCCAGACCTTTGGACTCCCAAGCAGTACATTTACCTAGAAGCTTGATAGCCAGCTGCAAAATCAATTGAGGTTTCCTAATAGAGCAAGGTAAATTTCTTAGAGATTTAGAAAAAAGTTGTACAGAGTAAAATATAGGGTAGAATTTTGGGTGAGAACTTCACAAAACAATTTTCGCTCCATATTATTTCGCATCACTGAAGAATAGGCTGTTAAAAATCCACATAATATCACTTTCTCACCGAGCGAAAAAATTATTGGTCATTAGAAAATGACCATTAGTAAAACAGAAAACTTAAAACAGGGAATTATTTTCCAAGTCAACGAAACTAAAATAAGCTGGTGCCAAAAAATTATAAAACGCTCAAAGCATTAAGTAATTTTGTAAAGAGCAAAAAATTCTTTAAAATATAGAAGCAATAGAAATGAATAAGCAATGCGAGAAAAAAGCGCGCACCTTCTCTTCTATGAGTTGCATCTTCAGCCCCTCTGTGAACAGATGTTTTAGCTGCAGCAGCGCCACAACTCTGAACTGTTCCTCGTGTTCGAACGACAGCTGGTCTAGGTCGTAGTCTAGTTTGCAAGTTGAGAAGGACACAATGTTAGGAGGTCCGGCTATTCTCACTCTTTCAGCCTCAGCCGCTTTTTCTTTGTCCAAACGTTCTGAAACCAACAAAGTATATACAGTGGTGATTCAAATTAACCGGACAAAACGAGCTAAAATTGAAATTTAAAACGCGTTTTTCTCAAATTGGGTTGAGTTTAGGTGAAAACTTATGAAGACAAAACTTGCTTAAAATTTTAGCAGAAATAATATGGTGTAATTTGGGACCAAGTTAACATCCTCCCCCCTTAACACGTTTAGGGGGAGGATGTTAACTTGGTTCTAAGTTGGGAATTTTCAGCCAATCAGAATCGAGCATTTTACATGCAGCGCTTAGCAAATTCAATTTAATTTAAGCGCTGGGGTGGAGGATCTTAACTTGGTCTATTAGGGGGGGGGGGGATGTTAACTTGATCTTTAATTTGTTTTGCGAAATTCGGGCCCAAAATTTTACCCCAAAAATGAGTCATTTGGCTTTTCTTAGTTAATCAAAAATTACGCCAAAAAGGCCCAGTCGATCACAGACATAATTATATCAAAGTGAGCCCCTTACGTAGCCCAACAAACTTTAAGAAAAGTATATTCTCCAAAACATTGTATAAGTTAATTTATTTTTGTTTGATAGACAAAATAGGTCGCTTTTACTATAAAAAAAACCAACTATTTATTTAAAAACAATTTACAATTTTTTTTGGAGAATATACCATTCTTAAAGTTTTTTGAGCTACATAAGGAGCTCACTTTGATATAACTATGTCTGTGATTGACCGGGTATTTTTTGGCGTAATTTTTGATTAACTGTCGTGAGGCGATCTTCGGTACCTCGTTATTTACTTGTTCTTTTGCAGTCTCACTGCAGATTGATGTTAATTATACTAACCGAAGTCATTGTGCTAAACTATACTTAATACCACGCAGAGCGTGTTCATTCTCTTCCGATATCTATACTGTTTGCTAGATAAACTTTATTCAACTTTAAAACTCATTCAGGATAAACTTCCTATTCAGAATATTTATTCGAAACTAAGTATTTATTCGAAACCAAGCAATAAAGTGATTCAAGCAACTAATTATTCAACTCTAAAACAACTTACTTATTGTTCAAACAACAAAGTTTTCATTCTAAAACCTCGGTAAATCTTATGGCGGAGCCAGCAGTTCCTGTGAACGAAGACAGGACTGACCTGTTAGGCATTCCCTCTTTCTGGGCGAAAGCCTCCATTAACCCGCCATTCCTGTGGGAATCTTGGATTGCTCAATTTTTCTTGGCCGCTGGTCTGAAGGATAATATCAATCCTCACGATCTTTTAACCGAACCCACTGAGGTTGTTGATGAACCTCCGCCAAGACCTGAGTCAATTGCTGATGGCGAGGACGCTGGAGCGGCCGAAGCCTGAAGACAGCGGGATCAAGCGGCGATTCGAAGAATTAACGAGTTAAACTTCGAGAGGAGGAGAAAAGGCCCTCGGATCAGTCAGAATTGGTTTTATCACGAAGCTGAAGCCCGTATGAAGTCTCGCTTGTTCTTCGCTCTGGGGAACGAAGGGAGGAGACGATTCGCTGACTCATTTCCTCACACGGACATCAGTAATATTCCTTTTCGTGAATTTCATAATGGCTGTGAAACATTATTCAAGGTTGAACGAGAATATACGGTGGAACGTATCAAACTGTATAACACGGTTTTCATGCTTGAAAATGACACTTTCTCGTCATTCTACGCTCGTCTGAGCGCCCAAGTGGCTCTGTGTAATTGGCCTCATGATCAAGAAAGGGAGACTTTGAAAGACCTCTTTATTTGACGAATTCGAGATATAGATGTTAAACAACAACTTATCAAGGCTAAGGCCGATCTAGATGGCACCTTTAAGCTCGCACTTGAGTGCGAAAAAGGGACAAATACATCTGCCCAATTCCAAAAACTACTTCCTCATAATCAACATTCAAATGGTATCAAGGTTAAACAAGAACCTACTTTCTCCATTCAATCATCTAGAGGGAAACGGAATTATCCTCAAAACCAAAGTGATCGAAAAGCGTCACAGAACAATCAAACAAATAAGTCATGTTACTTTTGTGGTAATCCTTTTAGTCCGGATCACCGAAAATCTTGTCCAGCTCGGGTAGTAACATGTAATCTTTGTCGGAAACGTGGTCACTTCGCGAAATGTTGCAACTCGTCGAAACGACGTGTAAATCTGGTTCAGAAAAATGAGGACGCTTCGGGCCCATCTATGGATTGTAATTTTATAGATGTCGAACAGGATAGTGAGCCAGAATATGGGGTGTTACAACTGGAATCCGCTGTGATGATTAATAGTATAGAAACCCTCAAGTCAAGCGGAGTGAAATCTAGGAGCCTCAGTATCCAGTTGCGTTCAGGTCGTAGTTTTTTCTTTTCGACTGTAGACACAGGAAGCCCAGTCTCGTTTCTGAATAAACGTTGCTGTGATTTACTTCTGCAACGAAATACATCAATTGAGTTTCGCGATATCGCACGTTACCCTGTTGACACCTTGTATGTGGACTATAATAAGCAGCCCATTCGTCTACTTGGGTCGATCCAAATCCCAATTTCTTCTGGTGGCTGGAGGGTGGATAACGCTCAGGTCCTCATTTCGGAGAACAGAGCTCGTAATCTCCTTGGTTTGGACTTGCAGGAGCAACTGGGTGTTGTTACTACACAGTTGAAAGCTGAATCAGTTCAGTCGCTGGAGTATAATTCGTCGGATCCGATATCAGAATGCTGGAGTTCCTTCTTTACCAAGAAATACGCCCATCTGTTCAGTCGTTTGGGCCGATCTAAACATCATAAAGTCTATACTAACTTCAAGTTCCCGTTGGTGCCACGTCAATTAAAGGACGTAAAGTTCCGATTCATATTCAGGATAGGGTCGCAAACGAGATAAAACTTCTGGTGGAGCAAGGACATATTGAAAAGTTGGACAAGTGTACGACTGATTTCTTCATAGCACCGATTGTGCTAACTGCAAAGAAAGGTGGCTCTATTAAACTGGCCCTTAATGCTAAGCCAATGAACGCTCAGATCTGGAAAAACAAGTACCAGATGCCGAATATTGATGAACTCATTGATTCCGCGGCACAAATCATAACAAGAAATGTTCCTGGAAAGGTTTGGTTCACGTCCTTGGATTTGAAGTATGCGTTTAGTCAGTTGCCATTGTCATCACTCACTAGCAGTCACTGTAATTTCAATATTCTAGGTAGCGAGGCGACGGGAACGTACCGATTCAAGACCGGATTTTATGGGCTGACTGACATGCCTACCGAGTTCCAGAAGGCAATGGA